ATCTGTCAATTTTGTGGTAAATTTTGTGGTAAATTTTGTGATGTTTCGAAAATTTGAGTGATTTTCTGAAAAATTTTGGTATGTCCAAAAAAATTTTTGACCCCTAAAATGATTTCTTGACCCCTAAAAAAATTTTTGACCCCTTCCCCAATAAGGCTTGTGCCTCAAAGGCACTCATGACCAAGGCTGGAGTGCTGCAATTTGCAGTTGTCTGATTTTGGTTTGATTACTTCTAATTCGACTCTACCAAAGGCTGCAGCTTTTCTCTGGAAAATCTGACCTGTTGTAATATTTGCCCAAAATAGGACAAAATACCAAGTTTTTTGCCTGATGATCTTACTTGACGAGTTTACTCATCAGGGGGTGGAATACGACTTGTACATTAATGGAGTGACCCCATGCTTCACACACAGCATTAACTACCATAGGTATAATTAGAGCTAGGTGTTATTATCAGGGACTTGTTTGTTTAGATCTTATGTTGATATACTTAGGGGGAACTTTCTTTCTGTGCGGTGTTTATTTTAAAGCATATGTTGAAGTAGTTTTTGGTACAAGCATGTATTCATCAAGTTCAATCTTAGACAAGAGGTCTATTTAAAAATGACTTAATCTCTTGGCTGGTGATGAGGCTATAGAACAAATGGCGTGGCCTGTGAACTTGCCAGATCTCAACCCAATTCTAGTGATGGGCGATACCACCAGTATCGATTCGATACTATACCGATTACTTTTTTATAAAAGTATCGAGGTATCAATTACCCAAATGATTACTACGACAACGATTGTATTTCAGAATTTTCTGCCATTATAAGTTATTCCCGCCTTTTTCATAATTTATTCTGTCGACGAGGTCCAGAATATTAATCAGGAAGTGGATAGAATGTCAAATAAAGTACTGGTAAAGGAAAGTTTGATTAAATTTGTAAATACAGCAAAATACAAAAAGTACATAAATTTTATTAGAAATAGCCATGAAACCGATGATACAACTACGGAATTATAATAAATGTCTAATTTTAAAAGTAATCAAAACACTTTTTCGATGCCGTGCAGTATCGACTACTTCTATTTGGGCCTGGTATCAGGTGGTATCGATACCAAGTAATCGGTAATCGCCCATCACTACCCAATCACAGAATAGGAAGTTATACCAGAAGCGTAACTCGAGCAAATATTTGTCCGCGTTTTTACAAGCGATTCGTCATCAATCACGCCATCCTGGCT